AAAGGTTGGGCTGCTCCCTGCTCACTCCTGCATTACAACAGGGCCTGGGATCAGCTCCCCAGGTGGGAAGGGGCTGAGCCTCTGCCAGAACAGCCTTTGTTTGCGCTGGATGTGGCACTGCTGGCTCCCAGTGTGCTGCCATAAATATGTATAACCTGAGAGCCCAGTGCCTTTGCACTCCCTGCCCTAAACAACTGGAAGAGAAGCTTTAGATGCTGTTTGATGAGGAAATGCAGATCTTAAGASCTGTCAAAACACAGCGTGCAGCCTGCATAAGTTGGTGGCCAAAGTGCAGGACAAATTCAGTGTTGYCTCTGCTACTACCACTGGCCTGGGGGGAGTCACTGTCCCAAAAAGTCCACATGAAAAATCAGAAATAAAGTATGGCTCCTTTGCAAAACTCTTGGAGATCTCCTGGAGAGAAATGAGATATCACCACTGAGGCCCAAGACCTGTGTCCTTAAGTTTATCCAGAGTCCAAGGACTGTGAAGGAATACCTGATTGTAAAACTGCTCAATTGATCATCTCCAGCTGAAAAAGACCAGTCTTAACCAAARGAGTTGAARAGGCAAAMGGCACTGGGCCAAAAGGCTGGATAKCAGAAAAATRTTCTTCACCCAGAGGGTGAGCACTGGAACAGGCTCCCCAGGGAAGTGGTCACAGYTCTCAGCCTGCCACAGCTCAACAAGTGTTTGGACAATGCTCTCAGGCACATGATGTGATTCTTGTACAGRGCCAGGAACTGGACTTCAATGTTTGTGGTGGGTCTCTTCCAACTCAAGCTTTATTCTATGATTCTRTGATAAGAGTTACTGCCTTCTTGGAGGGGTGTGTGCTTCATGCCCTATGGAGGTAACCTGGCTGGCAGCTCTGTGGCTTTTTGCTGCAGAGAAGTATTTGATGTGGTTTAAACTGCAGATGTAACTGGAGGGGCCAACCTCTATAGAGATAAGTGCTTACATATCCACACATTTTGCTATCGCTTGTTTGGTTTTTTACTACTACTACTACTACTACTACTACTACTACTACTACTACTACTATTATTATTACTATTATTATTATTATTATTATTATTATTATTATTATTATTATTATTATTATTATCCAATCACTAAAGTACTTTGCACAGAGGTGTGAGAAGTCTGAGAGCTCCTGGCTCATTCCATGGTGGCAGGGTGATGGTGGCTTTGACACTGTTGTTTCTCTCTGCAATTTGGTGCGACAGAGGGAGGTCTCTTTTCTGGGAATTGTTCCCTGATGAAAGGGCTGCTCCCATCTCTACTGGGCAGAGGACACCAACAGCTGTGACCCGGCAGCCAGACTTTATCTGACCTTTTATTTGTCTGACCTGCYCTCCCTTGAAGAGYGAACACACAATGTCACACAGTTCCYTTCTATCAAGCCTGCAGGCAAAGGCTTATCTAAGCCACACGTGTCAGTGTGTCTTGAGCTGTGTGTCCGTTTCCGTCAGGGGCTCTCTGAGCACTACAACCCCTCGACTCACCACGGTGAGTCTCCAGCCAGGATTACAAAGCATGTAGATCCAAAAGTCGCACTAGCCTGAAGCAGTAAATAAATTCTTTCCAAACTACCTGGCTTGTTAGCAGCAAGGCTTGCTCAGCTCTGCTCCCTTGGATTGCCTCATTTCATCTTCCAAATCCCGAGATGTGCACATTGGAAGSATCCCATGTCCCTGGCTTGCTGCATGTGGGAATTATAGTAACAGCAACTACACTCCTCAGCAGAGCAATTAAAGGACCAGGTTAAATAACAACTAGCCTTTGTATGCAAGCCCAGAGCATGTGCTGAATAAATTTGTGTTTGAGGTCTACATGGTTGGTCAGGAGTTGAGACCCCTTCCTGCCCCTCAGGATATGGTCAGGAGCTGGGGCTGGGACTGGGGGGCTGCAGCTCGCCCTGTCGCAGSAGAACACAGACATGAGTCCAAGTCACAATTTCATAGCTCCTCCTTATTCTGAAAATAATCTCCCTGATACACAGGAGTATGACATTTGTTTGCATTTGCATCCAAATGTTTTACATTAACAAGTCACTGCCTAGTAAGAGATTTAAAAAATGGAAAAAGCATTCAAAATGTCAAAGCTTACCCCACGAGCACATTCACTTACCAAAATATTTAAAGAACACAGCTACCTTTTATATTAATTTATTAGAAAAAAAAAGATACAGTTTAGTGTGCAAATATATACACCAAACACTACAATGAAACATGAGGAAGGTGAGCCCCTTCCCTCTAGCAACAACTTGCCCCTTCATAACAGAGATGACTGTTTAATGCTTCCCCACAGATTTACAAATACAAAAAGAAAGTATAATGCTTCATTTGCACAAGACAAAAGTTTTATTTGAAAACAAAAAAATATCCTGGCTTTGACATGGCAAAAGTCTGCTATTTTGGTGGCTTTTATTTTTTTTAAAACCTGAGCAAGTTTTGCGGAACAGGGGAACAAAGGGAAGGCATTGCCCTGTGCTTCATTCTCATCACAGCATCTGATGGTCTTTAAATTACTAAACCACTGAATCACTGCAAGTGAATGCAACTCCAGAATCTACATCTAGGATGTGTTTAGTGACATGAAGAAAGCAGGCGCTACCACTGGCAAAGTGGGTGGCTGAAAACACCAGGCTCCATCTTCATGGCTGTTGGCATTTCTCAGGTTGAGTGTTCATTTCTGCCAGTAAGGAAATCAATGCTGCCTCCTGTCATAAAGGAATTATAAATCTAAAATGCAGTTAAGTCCAAAAAGCAAATGAGTTATGGACACGCTGTGCCTTGCTCCAGTGTGTGGGCATTGAAGGAGCGCAGAGTAAGGCCGTGCTAAACACACCAGTGCAGGGAACGAGCTGATGACCCCAACAATAACCACAGGATTCAAACCATCCAGCTTGGTTGTTTTCCACATCATCCTGAAATCAAATGTCATCCAGCAGCTCCACAGGGTGACATTTGCCATTACACAAAAGCTTTTCTCCCCACCTTAACCGAGAGGCCCCAGCAGTGCTGGGGAAGGCACAAGACCCGGGCTGGGCAGTGCCAGTTCCCTCAGCAGACAGGAGTTTGCTAAGGGACCACAGGCCACCCCATGCTCGTTTAGTGCAGAGCCTCTCTCTGCATCAGCTCTCATTACACTTTTGAAAAAAATACACACAAAAACCAGATCCATGGCAAAGAGAACMCACTGTCAGGAGTGTGCCTGGCTGGTGCCAGAGCTGGTGCTAACCAAGGGCTCTGGCCTGGGCTATGTTTTCAGRCATGACAAAAGCTGACTCCATATTCAGGCTTTCTTTCCTCTTTGGACAAAAGATAAGGATTTATGAACAGATTTAACTAAGCAGCGACTCCTCTTTGCTCTGTAACACCCCTCCTCTCCCACCAGCTGGCTCTACAGTACCAACAGRTTTGTCAGTCATGGCTGCTGCAGCTCCCTGCACACCCAAATCCTTRGTGATGGGGTGGCCACAAATGAATTGGCTTTTGCCATCCTCCCACCATCCTCCTCCTCTTTACTCTCTTTGAAGTATTGTGGAATTTGACCAAAGGAAAAGGGGAAAAAAAAAGCCTTGGGGGACTACTGCTCTGCTTTTAAATTTTTTCCCCAGTATTTTTAATTGCTCCTGTTTCGTGTGTTGTACTTGCACAAGAATGCATGTCATGGGCCCTGGGTAAAAACAGACCTTACATGAAAAATCTGAATAAACCCTCAAACTTAGCTCTTAGAAGTGAAAGTTAGAAACCAGTGAGCAGCATTTRATCAAGATAAGATCGAATGTTGTTGTGGGGGCAAGCAGAGGCCACAGGAAGTTGAAAGGGGYCATTCTGATCTAAGGACAGTCCCTGCCAAGCTATATGTTTATGTCCTTTTAGGGGAGTAAAAATCCCCAGAGAGCTCTTTCTTGTCTAAACTTCTGAATGATCCGTTAGCCAGGTTTGTTGAAGTTTAAATATTTTTACGATAACTTAGAATAACAAGCAAGTCAGTTGTCTCCAATAACTTGATGTTTTTCCACTTCAGAAGATTTTCTGACAGCATGAAAAGAAACACTCCAGTCAAACATGAGCTGATCTGTACGTGATTCTGATCTGCATCAGAGGCTGCCCTGCCATCACAATCCAGGATCTGCAGTAGCAGAATGTAACTTCACCCACCCTTTGTGGAAGTTTTCTGTCCCTAATTTAAAACACYTCTTAGCTGGTCTTTTAACCCTTTCAGCACATCAGCAAACACTAAGAGCTTTCAGCAACATGTGTTATTTGCACACTTTGAAAGAAAGGCAATTCTTTTGAGGAGAAAGGCAAAGCTCTCAGTGTCCACAGCCCTTCCAYGCTTCCCTCTCTTTGACACCTCTGTGCAGGTGCAGATCTCCACTACCTCTCCCCAAACCCCCTGCCCCTGCCACTCCCAGGGCACGGGTGTTCACAGCTCTGCTAAATCAGAGAACAAAACAGCTGGGTTTAACAAACTGAATTTYACACCCAACAGACAAGATATAKATGGAAAAGTTGGAATTATTTTCARAATTTTTATGAACATCAACTTTCATTTGAGAGCTTTGGTGGTGGGGGGAGGAGCAGAGCAGGAGGGAACAGCAGGTCAGSTATCTGTGAGACTAAGCCCGGTTTTGCAAGCAGCAAAACTTCGTGCCCGCAGGCCTGGGTGCCCAGTTTGCCCCAGTCAGTAAAGGCGCTGGTGAACCTTGTTCTTGCAGGGTGAGAGCCTGGTCACCACAGATCCCCAGGGGCTGGGCTAAAGAAGCACTGAGACTTGCAAGCCTTTCAGCTCTCTTGAGGTAGGAGGAAAACTGTGTTTCTGTTGGCTACGCTGCCTCCCCCACAGGACGTGCGACTCGGCCTCCCAGAGTGCCGGAATGGCTGGCGCAGAGGGGGYGCAGGGAGGAAGCTGAGTGGGAGCCTTGAAATGCCAGTGGTTTCTGCGATGACATTTCTGTGACCTCTGTTTGGTAGATCAGCATTTTAGGTTACAGCAATGCAATGTGGTAACAACAGGCACACGAAGGGAGGCCAGCGAATTGGCACTGTCAGAGAAGAAACCTCTCGTGAGGGTCCTGTCCGTCTGTCCGTGCCGACAGGATCAGACCTCCTATGGCTGCTGGGACTCACTGACAGGAGCAAAGCCTGCGAGACCAAATCCAGTGTGGGTCACTCAGCGTCACTGCCAACCTCCGTGAGTCAGGTGGCTGTRTGCCACCGTGTAAGGAAGACTGCAGCCAAGTGTTTAGAGTTAAATATCTTACAAACTATACACATATGTCATCCTGAGATAGTGCCTGTAACAAGTCCCAAGGTAGATAAGCTTCCTGAGCCCAGAGGTCCTCACGCTGCTTGAGTGCATTGTTGTCTTGTTTTGGCCGGCTCCTGTCTCTCTCGGAGCACGCTGCACTTCCTAATGCTCTTTTCTTTTTGGGTGGGTCTAGTGAAACAATCAGATTGACGACTGCTACCAGCAATTCCAATGGCATTTCTTCTGCTGTTCAGATGAAAGCATTCTTGRTCCCTTGCCAGTTCTCTCAAGGCTTGTAGAAACAGGCTCACAGCTTCCCTTTCTAATTTTTGGCCAGCMAAGAGCTGTGTGGCTGCAGCCTCCYGCTAGAAGAGCAGCTGTGCTGTGCTGTGCTGAAGACACTTCTCAAGACAGGGGTGAAAACATCAGTAGGAATCAGACAGAAAAGCGACAAGTGTGAGCCACAATGGAGAGAAGAAGCTTAATACAACGACCGTCRTCCAGAGGGTCAAAGACCATGCGTTCCAGTCGCATGGGTATGTAGTCCTGTTTTGAGTTCTGACAGCATCAGCTCACAGTCAGACCTTTTAAACCCTGGGGAAAAATATTTTTCAAAATTCTCTTGGCTTAAGCACTATATATTCAAAAAGTTCTTTTTATTTTTTTTCAGTATTTTAGCCCTTAGTTGATTAGTCACCAAAACCTGTCAGATGCCCACTGCCATAAAAGCACTCTGAGCATCTGCAGCATTTGTAGGAATATCAGAAAATATCTTTAGCAACTAGGAATTATACAACAGAAGGAGAAGGCAGGATGAACTAGATTAATGCAACTTGTAGTGGATTTGTTAATGTTAAGTGTATGACTCGTTGCAGAATCATGCCAGAAAATGGTACCATGTAGCTTCCTGGTAAGGGCAGTAAAAAGGCTAATGCGTTACTTTAGTCATCAGTGAACCACTCACTCACTCAACATACTATTTCCAGCTGAAATCAAAGGTTTCCAGTAAAAATGCCTCTACAGAYTGTAAGCATCCTACAGCTCTCTCTGCCTTTGAGCTCCACTGTGATAGCTGCTTCATTAACGTTGTGGTTCCAGTGCAAAAAAAAACCCCTCCAGCTCCCAAATCTTCTTCCTTCACACTTTTGATTGTCTTTCATCTGTCCATTCCTGCTTAGTGTTCTGTAAAGCTTGAGTCTTCTGTTCATCTACCTGGACATAGTCCACTCTCTGTTCCTCAGACAGAAAAGGTTTCTGTGGGACAGAGAGGAAAAAAAACAACGTATTAATTTTCAGATTGAAAAGGGGTGCTGGTGAAACTTAGCTTGATTTTTTGKTTTCCCTTTCCCTCATTCCTTGATTGCTTCACTGCACCTTGAAGCACACAGTGACATCAGCTGACAAAAGCATTGCTTTACAGCCTGCTTTAGCTATAATTATCCATCTGTCACTCTGCCACTCAGCCCAGCACRGCAAGCAGGGGAAACGTGCTGTGCTGGCTATTTCCATGCAGATAATCATTCTCCCCTCATCTGAGTGATCCTGCTGCAGGGATAACCTCACTGATTTTAGATACAGGGAGGGTTTCAATAAGAAAGCTTAAAGGTCTTCAGTCTTTTGCATCTGGGAGTATTGGCTGATGGGGAAAATGATACACAGGACATRAAATGACCCACACTGATGACAGTTCATTGCTTTGCAGTGGTACCTACTCACCACCTGGGCAGGTTAGAAGTTCCTAGGAACATGGAATGTATCTTCTCAGCATTGCAAAGAAAATTGAAATGGTTTTGGTGATGCAAGAACAAAGATGTATGTTTTGCCAGGTTATAAGAGATGGTACAGTTTTACCCCATGAATTTATCATAGGCTGTTACCGCAAAGAGATTTTTGGGGAAAACTAGCAGGAAAGGCTTTGTGGAGACACAGTGAAAATGAAGGAGCATGCAGAGATCCTGCAGGCATCAACCAGCTTGCTCACAAGCCCTCCTGGCTGCACATCCCAGCACAGTCTCGTGCCCTGTGCCAAGCTGTGTTAGCGGCATCCCTGTGAGTCACACTAAAGACACCTTGTCAGCACCCTAATCATGTTTTTATTGTACTCATCYTGAGCCTGACACCAATGCAGTCAGCTGGAAACATGACTGGCTTCATCATGGCACTGAGGGCACCGAGCAGAATGCGACCCTGGGTCTCAGTTTCCTCCTAGCAGACAAAGACAGGAGGCTGTGGGGTTTTTCAGATGACTCGTACCTTCTGCACAGGGGATGGGGAAGCAGAGTTAAAATCCAGTGCTAAGTAATCAAGGTTAGATTTCCTTGTCCATGGAAAAGCACCACTGTACGGAGATGTGGCCTGTCTGTGTTCCTGTCAGGAAAGAAGAGAAACTTTTAATGCTCTTAAAACATGATCCTAGAAGGAAACAGGATCACAACTGTGAGCTGGGGATTTGCCTGGCAGAATGAGAGTKACAACAGTCAGGACCCACATAATTTTCTATGCCACAGGTGCATTTGGTTACTACCCACAGTGTAACTCTGATAATTKTGGGATGGCATAAAGAAACTGTGAGAGCCTTTTTCTCCCAGTAATTCTGGCAAAACAAATAAAACACGGTGATTTACACTAAATTACATCACGGAGAACTTGTACCCAGCTTCTCAATCCAAGCCCTTGGAAAACTCAGATTTGCAGGGGTTCTCTCTTAAACATCATCATTCAATGAATTTGAAGAAATTGCAAAAATTCTGCTCAAATCTAGCAACTGAAAATTTATCCCATAAAACCACAGATAACCACAAATATATGACAGGTTTTCCTTGACTACAAAAATCAAATGGGGAGTGGTTACAACTGGAACTGCCCTCTTCAGCAGATTTCAGTCTGGCAGAGATGTGGGCTGAAATCTGAAACTATGGCTCATGAAGACTGTGGTCARTTTTGCAATATGTTTTTATAGCTATTGGTATTGGGCTTTGGCTATGGAGGCAGATCTGYAGACATTGGCTCAGATGAATGGATTTGAGATCCATTTTCACCTAAAATTTGAAGAAAAACAAGATTTTGGTCTTTTGCAAGATATGGCTAAAGAGTAAATGAAGAAAAGGAAGCACAAAGCCAGATGTTCTTCTTTCATGGGATGGGAAGTGGGGTTAGTGCCACCAGCCAAAGCAGAAGCAATAAGAGACTTTAATGGGAGTTCTGTTTCTGCACAATATTTGGTGTGTTTCTTTAGGAAGTGCACTAACGGCTTTCTGTCATTTCCTAGGAGATTTTGCAGGGCACACTTTTAAAAGGTGAAAAGATTTAATTTTCCTTTGCCTTAATGAGTTCTCATGTAAATATGGCTGATCCCTGTGATCTCTTGGAACTGCTCAGCAACATTCGTGGGCGAACAGCTGAGTTCTGCAGAGCAGGAAAAGGGCTTCCCTTATCTCTCTGTAAATTGGTCCCACTGTCTTTGGTTTAAAACCATTTCATCATTTGAAAAAAAAAAAACCAAACCAGAAGGCAAAGGACAAACCTCCTCAACGTTTTCTCTTAGAAAACAAACTTCTGCATTCTCCATCAATGTGACAGAGCAGAATAAAGCAAAGGATGGCTGTGTGAAAATGAAGATTACCATATGAATGTAACTTTCTTCCTCTTCTCCGGAAACTGAATTGGCAAATATTCTTGCTGAATTAATACCGTCTCTTTCTGGTGAGATAAAGCTCATTCGATTGCTATGAAGAAAAACACAGGAGAGGTTAAGGAAGCATCTTACAGATGCACTGAAATGAAGCCAAAGCCTGACACAGTCCATATGGTGAATAAACTCACACTAAGGCTGCAGCCTTTATGGAGAGGATGTCCAAAGCCACTCCTTAGTTCTAGAAATAGTGTGTTATATCGCTCAGTGATTTTGTTGGGTTGTTTTTTTTTTTTTCCCTAGCATTTATGGAAGTTTGCTATCTGGTATGACAGAAAGTGTAAAACATTGAAGCAATTCTCCATCAAAGGGCACAGACACAGCTGTCATTTATAGGGGTGATAATGGAGGCAGTTACTCGGCTGTGCAGGTATCCRCAATTTGGACACTGATGTGAATTAATCAGCTCTTGGAGGTACATGCAGAGGAACCTGCCTGGCTTTGCACACAGTGTCAGCACATGCCACCCATGCTGTGGAGATGGCTGTGACTCAGCCCTTGCACAGGGAAATCTCTCCCATGAACACAACTCGCAGAGGTTCACAGGGAGTAAATTATTACAGGCGAGCATGATGGGCTTGGTTAGTAGGAAACCAGATGGCCACTTCGTGCAGCATGAACAGCATAATTCCTTTTGCTGTATTAGTTTCTGGCATACTTCTTTTTAAATTTTTGTTAGTGTAAAACATGCAAACTCACTCTAAGCTCGTTATCCTTCAGGCCTCTGCACTGTGTCAGCACTGATTAACCACAGTGCTCTGGCAGGGATGCTTGGGAGGCAGGGAATTGGCTTTACCTAAYGGGCAGTGCCAAAGGGCTTAACCAGCCTTGGACTGGATGGCTGAGACACAGCTCTGCAACTGAGAAACTGCCCATCTCGTGTCTCTTTGCCCTTCACATAACAGCCTGAAGTGGGAGAGTGGAAATGTCCCATCTACCACTCATGCAGCAAAACCCCACCTTTTCTGGAGTGCCTGGGGTGTGCAGAGGAGGTTGATGGGAATTTCTGGCATGCCAGCAGTTCAAGTCTGGATTGCTGTGTGGCAGTRCAGAATTCTACATCCAGTCTACAATTCAGGGAGATCTTTATCTCATCTGATTCTCTGCTGTATTAATTTTCAGAAGCAAAAATGGCTCTATCATAGTTTAGGCTCACAAAGCTTTTAGCCATCACAGCAGCCACACCAGAGTGCAGAGCAGCTCCACACTGTGCAAAAGGAACCTTCGAAACATGATGCCGAATTCTCAAAGCTGCCCATGGTGAAAGGGAGCCCTGCTTTTTAGAGACAGCAAAACCCTGGGGGATGTTGAAAGGAACCCTGGGGAATTTTTGTTTGTGGACTTTGCCATGAAACTAWCTCTTGTGGGATGAGATAAGTTATTTTTAACTCTAGTCCACAACACTAATGCTCAGAAGATTGGAATGGTAGGTTTCTTGTCGACTTACTAAGGCACAGTCCACATCCTGGTCACGGCAGCATGCTCCCGGATTGTGGAGAGGTTCCTCAAGTCCAGAGGAGGTGGTCGTGCTGTAAGTAAATACAAAAGGAACCACGAAAAGTACASACTGGTTAGAAAAATGCAGTTTTATATTAACAGCAAGAAACTAACAGAGTCTTTCACACAACATAACCAAGATGGAAATCAGTAACAAATGACCTCTTCGGTCAGTGCTGGAAAGCAAAGTCCCTCCACTGCCCTAAAATAACAGAARTAAATACAGTGGGCATAAAGAGACCGAATGCCCCCCAAGATCCATATGCTTGCCTCAAACACACTCTGCCTATGCTGCATTTGAGAGGCTGGTTCAGCCTCCAGCTTATAACAGGTTGTGGGTTYTGTTCTAAACAAAAAGATACGTGGGGATTGGGACCATTCCTGTCACAGTCTGTGTACATGAGCCCACCATTCTCAAAACCTTTTAAGAGAAGATGTGAGTTTTCTTTGCTTCATGGCAATGGTCTAAATGTCTATCCCCRCTTTACAGTAGCATTGCTTGAAGCAATTTCTGAGTAACCCTGTGGCTCTGCAACCCTAAGAGCTTTACTGTAGGCTAGGTTTAGGCAATTTCTCCACTTCAAAGCAGAGTTTAGTCCCCAGTATATTCTYTAGAAGTGCAATCCAGATTTTGGACATGCCATGAAAACCAGGAGGGGAAAATTACCATCAGCAAAAGCATCTGCAGGAAATTCCTAATTAAACCAAGACAGCTGTGCCTACCCAACAGAGGCTTAACCAACAACCCACACATCAAGTTTGAGTACTTGAGTGTTTGGATGTCCCATTCCTGGCAGGTCAGACAGCCTGTGGGACAGGAGCACAAATACTCMAAAGCAGCAGGACTGAGTCTGGTGTGGCTCCAAGGCTATGTCCCCRTGGCTCTTTGCAGTCACAGTGGGAAGCTGGGCATGGTGCTAATGCAGCCACCTGGGCTCTGACTGCAAAAGCAGCCACGGATGCTCTTCCTCCACTCACAAACCATGCTGCAGGCACAACCTAGGCTACAGGGCTGTAAGGTACTCACACAGTATTGGTGGGAATTGCTTTAAGACAGGCCAAGGACACTATCAAAGGAGGTCACCCATGTCCCCACCGCCAGGCTTTGCACTTTAGGTCATGCTTACATTTCCTGCGAGGCTTGAGGTCTCGGTTCACTGGAGGAGGCTCCACGTCTGAGGGGAGCTCAGGCAAGGGGCTGGTGAGTTTTTCAGTGCTGACGACAGGGAAGGTGAAGGTGGCYGAGCCAGGGCTCATGGGGATGTAGCCGTCGGGGGAACAGTCAGAGCTGGGCGCRGAGGGGGAGGTGCTGGGGCGCATGGGCACGTAGCTGTCCTCAGCGCTGTCCGCAGCCGTTGAGTACAGCGGGGAGAACCGGCATGGCTGCGAGCGCACCAGGAGAAAGAGAAATGGGTCGGTCAGTGCACAGMCAGACCCTCCAAACTGGAGCTGCTGGGAGCTGGGAGCACATCTGAGCTGAGCTCAGGCCAGGATATGCTGATGGGACCTTTCAAAGGCAAATACATGAGTTCAGATGAACACTCCAGCTCTGGAGCCATCCACTCTGAGCTTTGCAAGTCACTGCTGGAAGCCAGAACCAAACTTATTGGTGACTTTATTGTTTAAATCCTCCAGCTTCAGTGAGGCTGCACTTGCCTCTCACARCAGTAATTCTGACCTATAAAATGAGGGAGGATCCTTCATACAAAAAGAAGTCTGGAAAGACAACACCTGATAAACTAAATTTTGGCAAATGTGGAAGCTGTGAGAGCAGACATGGAACTACAACCCACTTCTGATCACTAAGAATTAACACTAGAAAATAAGTTAATGCAGGTTAGTGCTGGTTGAATGGTGAGAGAGAGTGATTACAATCTTTGCAAGCTCCCAAAAGGGAGAAAAATAAAGGTTGCCCACCACCAACAAAGGATCTCCCACAGAAGACAGCATCCAGCACTACTGGCAGAAGACTGACTGTGTGATGTGAGATGGAACACATAGAACCATGTCTGTCAAAGGCTGAGGCAGGAAGCTGTGGACTGAAGAGCCCTCAGTCACAGGCACTTCAAGAGCAGACACTTTTCTATATGTTTCTCTCTTCTATCTTATGAAGAGATATCCCTCAGGATCATGAAGTGATAGGCTTTCTTAGACCCTTTTCCAAGGGATGAGCCATTTTCTCTSGTGCTCTTGGTCAACAGTATAATTCTTGAGACTACAGGTAACCTTCTTCATAATAGACACAGTTTCACCTGCATTAAAAACAGGGTGCTCAGGATTGTGCCCCCCACTCCCTCTTTTCTCTAGGGCTGCCTGAGGCCACAAAGCAGCAGCAGAGAAGTTGCTCAAAGCCAGGCACTTTTCCCATTTTTTAAATTCTTCTACTGAACAGAGGAGAAGAATGGTTGAATATCAGGATGTGAAATGATTCACTCACACACACAACAAATGAAGTTTATGTGCCAGTGTTTTAAATTTGTGCTAGCAGAGTACTTACCAAATTCAAGCTAAGCCTCTTATCTCGACTTCTTAAGGAGCTGCCTTCCATGTCTGCTGCAAGGAAAAAAAGTGATTAAAAACGGGATAAGGCAGTGCAACCTTACAGAGATAACTCTGGAATAAAACATATGGCTCTAAAATAATTAGAGTTTTATAAAGATTCCATAACTCCTAAATGAGGAAATCCAATGACACTTAAGATCAGATCCAACTCAGTAACGTTTCAAGAGTGATTATATCTATTTTAAGTATGATGAAACCAAGGAACATGTTCATGTATAATCCAGCTGTAACTTRTGCCTCCTGTAACACGAGCACTTGGGGAGAAAGACTGGTGTGGGAGCAAGCAACCAAAAATTTAAATGCAGCTCCTCTGCTCTAGTCATTYTCTGTTTTCCCATCTGTCAAATTGGGTAAATTACATGAAAAGRGGCTATTATAGAGAATATTATTTCATCACTTCTTGAAAATTTATTTAGGAGCTTTTTAAGGTGCCAGGGAAGCAATTGTTATTGCACAGAGAGTGTTGCGTGGGGGAACTTAATGGTAGGGGAAGAATTCTTTGTTTTGTCACCCAGAAGTGCTGATGTGGTACAAGTGGCTCGAGCTGATGGGGAATAAACAGCCTGAGACACAAGCACCAGACTCCATGGCTCCTTGTACAGGTGGGCCTTTGTCTTGGTGTAGGTCAATTTTATTTTCCAAGCCTAAAATCCAGCATTCAGGGCAGAGAAGATCAGCTGTGGGAGATGCTTACAAGCACCACCATTTTCTGAAAAGGGATTTTCTGTKCAGAAAATGGCTTTTCTATGGGAATGTCTTAAACCCCTGCAACCATATTAATCCATTTCCCGCTTTTACGGTGGAGATGTCAGTACTGCAAATGGGGGCGTTTTTGGTGGCACCAGCARAAAAGGCCAAACAAGAACAAAGTAATTCTGTGAGTGCAGATACATGTTAATATAGACACAGTCACTGTCCTGGGATGGCTACATTTATTTATTTATTATTTTGGTTAAAAGACATTGARGCACAAGGTTGTGGCAGATTGCAGGATACAGGTGCCTTATGGCTCATCCCCTCCATGGCACTTCTGCCAGCACACGCTGCCTTCACACTGGGCTAATTACATCTGTGCACCTTTTGCAGGTTGGCAAGGGCAAAAAATTTAATTAATTACTTGAGCGGGCTCGCTGGGCAAGCTGGTAAGGAACAGCTGCTTTCTCCCTGTTTCTTTTTTTGATCTTTCTTGTTAAACATGTTTTAATTCAGAGTTYAACCCTTCAAATAGTTTCAGCTGCACTCAGGGTAAGAAAAAGTGGCAGCACTTACTAATTCATTGCTGCCCCCATCAGGCAGAGACAACCCTGCAGCACATCAGCACAGCACGACATTCGGCCATTTAGTCCTCTTAGAAACATTTGGGCTTAAATTGGGTTGGAGAAACACAAACCAGGGGCATTGGAGCAGCATATGTGCAAAAGCAAGAGCAGCACTTTCAGGGAGAAACCAAATGCAGCTGATAATTAAGAACAGCAATTCCACTGATGGGTGTTTCTCCAGAAACTTTCCAAGAATTGTCTGTACACTGATAAACAGACTGAACAGAGATCTCCTTGCTTTAGCTTCTGTGTTTTAAGAGCAAGATCTACCACACATTGTCTGTGTCATTCAAAGTCTAGGAGTCTAAAGGATGCTTGTCCTTAAAAACCTACATTTTTTTTCCTCACTAAAAATGAAGGTTTTCACATCACTGCAATATAATTATGATTTCCAGCCAGGTGTCCCAGCTGCCTCCATGTGATAAAGCTTTCTCATATTGCAAATGTTGGGTTTTGACAGCATGACATTATGGATTTTGCCTGTTACTTTTGYGTGTGATGATGATGATCCAGGAGCAAGCGGAAAAGCCAGCTGGAAAAGCCAGGGTAGAGTCTGCTTTGCAGCCTTGCCTTGCTCTGCAGCAGCAGGTTTTCAGATTGCCCTGACTGAAGTGCAAGGACAGAATGGGATTTGTTCAAGGACACACTGAGTCCCTGGTTCAACTAGGATTACATCCCATCCCCAGTGTCTCCCTGACTTCCTGGTCTTTAAGCTGTGAAAAGACACGCAGCTCTCATGGAARAGATTGGGTGTAGCGAAGCAGCACAGCTCCAAAGACATCTCTCATGTGTAAGGCCACACTTTGAGCAGTACAGAGGTTGTCATTGCCCAATTCAGTGGCTGACTTTTCATTTTGGTTTTTCTACTGCTTTCTCTTCTGAGGAGGGAGGGAGCATGGAAAACTAGCAAGTCATGAGGCACCCTGAAGGGATCAGAGCCAAAGTGCTGCCCATGTGTGCACACAAAGAGGGGCTTCCAGAGAGCAGGAGCTGAACCTGAGGGACAGGCCTGAATCCTGCACACTAATTCATCTGAAATAAGCATTTTGTGTTGCTTTGGGTGGTGTATGATTTCGCAGAGGGRAGGACAGAGAGGCACAACTGGAAGCCAAAACCACTCTGTGTGTGTGGGCAGCTCCATCCCTCACACTGATCCTGCTTTGCTGGCTCTTGGAAGTGCACTCACCTTTCCAGTTCCTCATGTTGTCCAGGCTGGACAGGGAGATCCTCCTGGGCACCAGAGCGACCTGAGCGCGGCAGATCCCCGCGTGCCCGTTCTGGAGGGCCCCGCCGCCCACCTCGTCCCCTCTCCTGTCCGACAAGTGGGTTGGCTTGGGCGGCCGTGGCGGGGGCGTGTTGGACAGCACATCCAGCTGTGTCACACCGTAGGGCAGCGCCTTCTGGCTTTTGTCAATCTGAAAAGTTGGTGTCAGCGATGTCCCCAGCAGTGGAGAAGAGGAGGAAATGTCACTGGTTGGCCCACTAATGTCTATGGTCCTGGACACGATGCTGGGATTTGCCAGTGGGGCTCCGTCCTGGTGCACGGTGCCAGTACTGGTCGGCTGTACAAGGTATAAGGAGGGCTGGGATTGCAAGGAGTCAACAAAAACATCGTCTGATGATGTTTGCTCCAGAGATCTGTCTGAATTTGACCAGCTGTCACACCTGCAAGGAGACAGAGGTCAGGAACTTAGCTTTCCTTTTCTCCCGGCTGTGAGAACACAGCAAACAAAAAACCCAAMCCCACAGTCTGGACAAATCTGTCCCTTCCCTCTGAGCTGGACTGGAGGCTGGAGTACTTTGTGGAGCACCTTGGGCAACAGCAGGTGTCTGGAGAGAGGCTGTGTGTGAGATCCCCAGCCACCCATCCTGGAAAGGGACAGGACCAACACATGACGCTCAACCACTAATCTGTGCTATGAAAAGCACCCTGTAAATTGGATTAGGCTGGTGGTCCCCTGTTGTGCCCAGGAGCCAGCCCTGAGTGGCCGGGCTCCCTGGGGCTGTGTGCCCCAGTTTCATCCCGGGGCATGCAGAGAGTGGCTCCAGCCCGACTCATCTGGCAGATCCCAGACTCACCTGTTGTGGCTGAGCTTGCCCGACTCACAGTTGGAGAGGAAGAGGTAGTCGGGGAGGAATACTGACTCGGACTCACTGGGGGTCTCCTCAGCAGCAGTGTCAGCAGCAGCRTGGTCCACTGAGAAGGAGGGGTCAGCGATGCGGGAGGCGTGGGTGGAGGTGGCCGGTGAGGGCTGTGGGGACGAGGTGGTGTGAGACAGGCTCTCCACAGAACCTGCAATGGACACGGATGGCCCGGCTGAGGGACGGCTCTGGCTCGCCCTGGCCCTCTGCCTGTCCTGGCTGTCACCACTTTRCTGTGCACCAGGGTTGTTTCACCCCAGAGTGTCAGGGAGTCAAGGCAAACGCTGGTTCTGGGGAGAGGGGATCCTGATTCTGCTCCCACTGCCCAGGCTGTTAAAGCCCTCCAGGCTGTGGGAGGTGCAGAGCCCYATGTTTTGAGGTCCCCCACTCCTGCAGGGCCGAGGCATCCGTCCTGTGGCCAGCCATGAAGAACAGGCTCTGCTGAAGAAAGAGCTGAGGCACAACCCCAGCCTACTTCTCAAGTATTTTTTTAGTATCTAATGCAAATACATAATTATTCATCTCCAACACTTCAAATTAATGGTGTCAAGGAAAGGGATTGTTTTCTTTCCATCTTCTAGCTCTCGGTGGACAAAAYTGAGCTTTGCAGTAGCCAGACAAGCTCTGAACTTATCTGCAAGCTTTTTATGCCTCTCTGGGCTGGACATCAAACCACAAGATCTGTGGTGTGACTGTTACTGCCCAGCTGGAGGCTTCTTGGCTCTGCTGAGAAAACTGACACTTCTTTGGTGGCCACAAGGCCCAGGGGAGCCTGTGCTCAGTGACATGTTCTCTGTGCATAACACCCCAGTGTCCCCAGCACAGAATGGGATGGCAGTGGGACAGGAGCATGTCTGGGCTGCAGGCAGTGGGGCTGGCTGCCTGCTCACACCACCACAGCCACCCTGCAGTGCAGCATGTGGCCGAGGCACTCAGACTCCTCTGGCCTGAGCACTGCCCTGCAGCAGAGACAAGTCTGTTCTGTTCCTCTACCAACCTTTGTCCCAGCTAGAGAGCTGGGCAGAAGGCAAGGAGAAGTGATGGCTGAGCCACACAGAGTCAAGCTAAACACAGCTTTTGGGGCATTGCAACTCAAAAAATCAAGTGCAAGTCAGACCTCCCACAATGGGCAGCTGTGGAATGGGAAGAGTGTCTTTACAAAGCAGCTCCTCAAAAGCATCTGCTTGGCAGCAAGCTCAAGCAGCAGCACCAAGAGCACAAGTCCTCAGTTAAAGAATATTGATTCTTCTAATGAAGTTTCAGGTTGCTGCATGGCAGTTCCCTCACCAGAGCTGTGATGGGGCARTGCTCACTGGGTCCCTGACAGCAGCAGGGCTCGGCACTGGGTGCCCATCTCTTTGTTTTAGCTGTGTGGTTTTTCATTTCGAAGAAGGGTTTTGCAGCTTTRACTCAGGCAGCATCTGAGCCAAACATGAGAAACCAGCAACTGCTGATAAAACCACACCAAGAATAAACATGCCTTCAAAGTACAGCAAGATGGCAGATTTCTCTAATGCTGATAACCAGAAGTTGATGGAAATGCTGGGAACCAGCCCCTGAATAAAACAGCTGATCTTCCCTTCCTGCACTATCCTACACCTCATCCCTTTGAACTTGGGAGGGAGCTGGCTCTTTCCTTCCCATCTACCAGTGTTGACTCTGCTGCTTGCTCCCAGGGCAGTGGTGGGCTTTGGGTCAGCAAAGCATATAAAAGCATGCTTAAATCCAAGTTTAAGCAAAGGACTTGCTTTAATTTTGAGCAGGTGCTTATAGCAGCAGGATTTCAGCAGTGAGCATGTGGAAGGAATGTCTTTCACAGGGTTTCACACTTGCAAAGCAGAGCTGAAGSCTGCAGCCTTCCCATCTGAAAAATAACTTTTGTTCATCATGCTGGCTCAGACTGTAACTCTGCTTTCAAATCTTGGACACAGAGAGCTGTCTTGCAAGCTGACAATGATCAAATATACACTGGGCTAACTCCCTAGGGATCTCAGAAAAGCATGTTCACTTCACCATCTGACTACATTAAAAAAAAAAACCAACAAACCAACAACTAAAACTGCCACAATGCATAAGAAATAAATTAATGACATTCTGGGTTATTAACACAGAGAACGAACAGGCCTGAACTCCATCTGGTACTCACAGGGTTTAGCCATGGATTATCCCATCAGGAAAGGCTGTGAGCTGCAGACCACATGGCAACGGTTGTGAGCAGGAGGGAGGGATGGGGACAGCACAGACCTGCCCTTTCCTAACCTTCAGGGGCTCAGGGACCTGCAGTCAGCTCCTCACAGACTGTCCCTGTCYCTGCCAGCTCTGCTGGTAACCGAATCATGTGCATTAAAACTGTACCACGACAGCAGCTGGGCAGAATAAATTATGCATGGCTACTTTCAACAGTGAGAAGGCAGAGAATAGGTTTGGTGCCTGCCCTCCCCTTTGCCAGAGAGACAGCAGAAGGCTTCAGCTGCCAAAATAACTGCTATGGTGGGTACTAACCCAAAACATTTTGGCCTTGCAATCATGGGGAAAGTCACCACAGGGGTTGCAGAACATCTTCTACAATGGCTTCTCCCATCAATGAAGAGCCWTTGTTTGGAGAAACAGAGGGCTTTTCCTTCCTGCTGCAGACCCCAGCCCACTCCMCAAGAACAGTTGTGGTTCAACAGCAGTGCAGCAACATGGTAGAATAGGGGTGTTCTGCTCACTCAACCACCCCCAAGGCTGCACTGACATTCCAAGGAGWTAGAAATTATAACAGTAAAGTTCCTAATGAAACTGGTTGAACAACCTTCCCGCTAGTTTCTCCAATGAAAAGCTGTTATGTTGGATTGTATCAATTAGTCATGGCTTKGGCTTGGACATGGGATAAACTGTGCCCCTGATGTCCCACAGCCACCTCATTGCATCCCCTCCCCTGCCCCAGACACTTGGGCCAGGCATCCTCTCAATCCCCTGCCATGGGTCTGACAGGGCTGGGGAATGGTGGCTCTGTTGGGAAACCCCATGGAAGATGGAAGCAAGTTTTTGCACAGATGTGGTAGGAAAACTGGGAGCAAGGCCTCTTCCTCTCTTCTTCAGCTGACTCCCCAAAGGCACCAGCTTCTCCATCATCTCCAGCACAGCCAGCAGCAGTTTCTTGTGGCAGCAATGARTGAGTGCTGCTGGCAAGTCCTTCCTGACAGCCGCCCTCCCAGGTGCTTCCTGACATCTGCCTGGAGCTGGCATGTCATCTCTGCCTCTCAGCTGTCCCCTCTCCTGTTGACTACAGAGCTGTGCTCACAGGAGCCACRGCTTTCGTAGCTTCTCTCTGCATCTGGCTGACAACACTTCTGGTGTGGGGATCTGGCTGTTCATCCAGCTTCTTTGCTACTGGAAGGGACTAACTGGGAACAACAGGACAGCGTTTAAAGCTGAGTCACTGCATAAACCTGCGACTGCACTTKGTGCATTAAGCAGAGAAAGCAGCAGATTGTGTTTTGGCCTCAGTCACAGCAAATTTTCAGCGATGCACAGATTAAGAGTGATATGACTCATATCAGGGACTTGTACTTTTTTAGAACAGTAGCATTCAAGTTAAAAAAGCATGTGGCATTTCATAGGGCTTTTCTAATGTTAATTTTAAGGGTAATTTGTTTAAACCTACAGGCTCTTGGAGGATTTAGGAGATCCTGAAAAGCTGAAGCAATTAGCAACTGTTTGAAATGTGATGTGCAACTTGTGGAGCTGTGCAGATTTAAATCAGGGGATCTGGATGTGCCTGGCAGCCTGACCTGGATACACCCCAGACCTGAGCTCACCGGCAGGAGCTGCAGGATAAATAGAAGCTCTTAGGAGCTATTTGGCATTAGAGACACAATAAGTGCTTGTCTGGAGGCTTAGCTCGCGCCATCCTTGATGAGGGCTGCAAGCCCAGGTGCCAGACTTTGTACTGAACTAAGGCAAATGCTCTGCACTGCTGAACTTCTTGGGGGAYGATACCTGCCTTGGAAAGTTGGAAAGTGTCACTTTCCCAATTGCTRCTGCAAGAGCTATCATTTCTCATCCATCAGTGCCCACACAGGCATTCTTTGCTGGGAGAGAAACACCCATGTGTAATACTATGAGTATTGTACACATCTTACAAGCAATAGTGCACTGCACCAGCAAAAAGGAGCAGGCATTTCCCAGTATAAGTGCACCTATCCTGGAACAGCCACCGTCTTAGCTCCTCTGCAACAGGCCACATCCCCTATGCACATTCTCACAGTGCCAGCAGTAGGCTGCCTACAAATTTAAGAGACAAAAAATATTATTCTCTTTTCTGTTTTGGAAGGGTTTACTTTAACTTCAGAGTAATTGGTGAAACTATGTCTAAAATAATCCTGCACCAGAAATAACAATCCAAGAGCAACAGCTCAGTGTCAACGAGRGCAGAACAGTGGGAAGGTGGTTACTGAATATCCTAACTACATCCAAGCTCCAAAGGGCTGTAGACTCCAATCCTCAAAGTTACCAGCCCTACTTTGAAATTTGTATTCATGGACAGCTTGTACTGACACATAAAAATCTGTCAGCAAGTTTTCATGGTGGTTTCTGAAGTGAATGGGAAAAAAACAGACATCACATTTGTGACAGGAGCACTGCAGCGTTCTTCCCATTCCCATTTCCGTCAGAAGCCACTGCTCAAGAGAAGGCTAAGCAATGACATGAGCCATTATAGATTGAAATAAACCCTTTCCTGAGGCCTTTTGTTTCCTTTCAGATTGTTGGGTAATGATGTGGCCATGCAGCACCTGCAGACACCAGCAGCATTCTGAGTGCAGCAGCACAAAGACTGGAAGGATAAACTGCCTGGCCACACTGTGATACCCCCAAACATATTACTGCCCTAGGGCTCATGTCCCTCCATGGCCACCCTGTTCTACTCTTGTACTGCCTTTTATCACATTGAAAGTCTTGGTTCTGACTCACTTCCCCTGCAACTCTCAAATTGCTGCTGTATCTGCCACTTGGAATTGTCAAGGGAAAGACAGATTGCTGTTATCTGAGCCCGATTGTCATTTAAAAGTAAGTTAATGATGATACAGATCCCGACTTTAATTACTGGCTACATCCATCCTGGAGTGGTTAATTCTTGGCAGCTTTTCAAGAAATTCACTCTGCTGAGTATATACAGGTGTAGAGCCTGGCAAGAGCTGCCTTTATGCTTCACTGGCAGGACCATCCTTTAAGTCTAGACACACACTTCTACTTCTAACACTCCCCTATCCTCTGTCTTTTCTTTATTTTCTCTTATTAACAGACTAAGGCAGCTTAGTATTTCTGTCATTGATTTATGTACATGCATATATACTCAAGTCTCTGCACATTCCACATCCAGCAAAGCTTGAGAAAATGGGAGTTTTGCAGGATGCTCTCCCGAAACAGGTGTCTTACATCAAGCCAAACTAAATAAATACAGGACATGTAATGAAATAAACAGCCCCAGAAGATAACAGTCAGCTTTTCACATAAACAGCACCTTTTCTTATTAAGGACCTGCTGCTTGTTCTAGCAGGAATTGCTTCATCAAAGTGAGACCAAGCAGTCAGTGGGTATTTYCACCCAGCACCCTGGGAACTTTCAGAGCAGGGTTTAGCAGCACCTCAGTGCTGTGTGGAGCTACAGGAACCACAGTTCTGTTTCACCCACCCAGCCCAGCCTGACAGCAAGGTTCAAGCCTCCTGTCACCCCTGGGCACTCTCCCAGCCCCCAGGATGAGARTGATCCTACCTGTGCCATCTTCCAGGTGTCCGAAGTTACAGATCTGGCTGATATTGTGCACCCAGATCTGCATCTCCTCCTCTGTCTTGGCTACCAGGTAGAAGGTGCGGTAGGTGGTTCTCACAATGAAGACAAAGTTGTTCTGAAATTCCTTCTTGATGAAGTTGGGCCCCGAGTGCTTCAGCACTTCGCACTCATTGAGGTCGATGATGCGGATGGGTTTTTTGGAGTGGTTGTTCCTGTAGTATTCCAGCACATCGGGGTTCCCGCTCATGCGGCCCCTGCGCAGCACGAACCAGCGCTTCCGCCAGGCCTGCAGGGACAAGGACAGGGCTCAGTGCCACATAAATACACAGCACCCTGCCCA